CCCCCTTTACCGACCCGACCCGCCTTGATACCCCTTGGGATTGGACAAAGATGTGTGACTGGGCCTTCAAGAAATTGAAGGTTGCTCTGATGCATCATCCACTCCTTACGATTGCAGATTTGGATAAGCCGTTCATTGTGACCATTGACGCTAGCCAGTATGGGATAGGCGTAGTGTTACAACAGCAAGAGGGGAAAAGGTTGAGGCCTATTGCGTAGATGTCCAAAAAGTTGTCATCTAAGAAGCTAGCTTACTCAACTTATGAGCGACAAGTGTATGCCCTGTACATGGCGCTAAAACACCGGAAACACTATGTCTATGGCAGACATGTTGAAATCTGGTCTGATCATGAGACACTCTTGTGGATTAAGGCACAGCCCATGCTCTCTGATGTGTTGAATAGGTGGATGATACACGTCATAGATATGTATGACTTCATCTTGAAGCGCGTCAATGGGCGTTCAATGAAGAGGCTGACACATTGTCTAGAAGGGCAGACTATCTTGGGGCGCTAGTAACTGACTTTGGCCTAGACGGGACTGTACATCAGCAGTTGGTGGATGCCTACAAAGGAGATAGCATCCAAAGTGAGATCATTCGAAGAGTCAGTGATCAGGACAAAACTGTGTCTGACTTCATAATGGTAGATGGGTTGGCAGGGAATAACAGATTGTGTACCGAATAGTGAGTCTTTGCGTAGTTTATTTCTAGGTGAGTGTCATGATGCGACAGGTCACTTCGGATTTAAGAGGACTTATGCTAATCTGTTGCAGCATTTCTGGTGGCCCACAACAATAGAAGACACCAAGAAGTATGTAGAAACTTGCCAAGTTTGTCAGTGTAACAAACCTGGGACTCACATGCCCCTTGGCTTGCCAAAGCTACTTCCTATCCCGTCCTGTCTGGGAGAGTCTCTGTCCATGGGCTTCATGGACACTCGTAACCAGCAAGAATGGGAATAGACAGATCTTTGTTATAGTGGACAAATTTCCCAACTTTTGCGAAACTAATACCGCTTCCTGCAACAGCTAAGACAGATCTGGCCGTCAGATCGTTTTCAGATCATTGGGTAAGAGATTTCTGACTGCCTAAATCTATAGAGAGCGGCAGAGACGTGAGTTTTACTAGTGAGTTGTGGCAGAAGACAGTTGGGCAAATGGGATCGGAATTGCAGATGACATCTGGCAACCATCCTGAAACTAACGGACAAGTTGAACAGATGAATCGGGTAGTACAGCAATTGCTTAGGCATTACATTAGGCCTAGCCAGGACAACTGGGATGAGAGATTACCTCTCATAGCCAGCCTGTATAACAACGTTGTCCACAATACTACGGGCCGAACACCTAATCAGCTACATTTAGGATGGACACCCAGAATGAATGTCTCAAGGAAACTGACACCGCAGTTCTTCGGGCCATGGGAGGTTCTAGATGTTGTAGGATCTGATCCTGATGGTCCCTCGTATGTCATTTGTGTTCCACCTCACTTATGCACATACCTAGCCTTTCACGCTTCAAAACTCCTACCTTTCTCTGAAACTGATAACTTTCCCTCACGAAGATCGGTGCTGCCCCTTACTATGAGTGGGTACGTCGACGAGCACCGGGTGATGCCTATTCTGAAGCCCACACGCGGTGGAAGACCTCTGAAACTGCAGATGCAGTTTAGAGTGTCCTTGGGATATCAATTGAATCCTAAGGAAGATCAGTGGTTTACCAGAGAAGGGCTAATGAAGACAGCTCCTCACGTCATATCAGCATACGGCCGAATGTTGACGGGGAAACAGCAGGTGGTTTACAGCTTTCGGGAATCCGAGGATTCAGGACCTTGGTGAATCCAACAACAGCCCTGCCTGCCCTAAGTGAGGGTGGGTGCCTGAAAATAGAGCAGGGCCTCTGAAGAGGCCAATGTGAGCAGAAGTGGGGCCCCGCATGGAGATGTTGCACGCAGCATCTTCAACTAACAGGTAGGGGCCCAACCACCGGGTAGTTGAAGATGCTGAGGCCCAGACATCTTCCGGATGGGCCTCCTGAAGCTTCTAGAGGGGCCCAGGGCCCGTGCAACTGGGACTGCACGCAGCCTGGCCAGAAGCTGCTCGACCTCTCCAGCAAACACAAAAGGTTGGAGGGCGGAACACATTGTGTGTAACGAGCGTGAGGCTGAGGGTGAGCCGAGGGAGAGGAGAGAGAGGGAGAGAGTGAGAGCACACACACACACTCACTCACTCGACACGACGGACTCGGACTGAGGATCGGACGCAGACACAGTGGCAAGGCACAAAGTCGAAGTCTTGGATTCCCGAATGCCGAAAATAGCAAGTCACACTGAGTACGAGTACAGCAGCAGAGAACTGGTACGAGACTGGTCCCGTACCGTACGGGGAGCCGGTATAAGTACCGGTGACACGTACGGTACCAGGGGCATTTCTGCAAAGGCCCCGAGGGCAGAACTGAAAAATGCAGTATTTGAAAGTGGCGCCCGAATTGCAGCATGGCGCCAGTTGTCCGAAATCCTACGGTACCAAAGGAGGAGTTTGGAAAAAGGGCGCCAGGCCGAAAACGGGATGCAGCTGAAACAGCAAAAAGATAGACCAGGGATCGAGCCCTGGCGAAGTCCGTAACATTGTGCCAATGTGGCAGCACTGCTGGAGCGACAGCTGAGCACTGTGCCCGAGGAGTAAGCTGCAGATGGCAGCGAGGAAGAAGGGGGTCTGGCAGCCAGCCATAGCGGAGCTTCTCAGACCATAGCCAAGTGGAGGAAGAGTAGCAGTGGTCCTTGAGGGAGAAGGCGCTGCGGAAGGAGAGAGGAGATGAGGGTGGTGTGACGAGGCACGCACTTGATGTGAAGAAGGCAGGCTGTTCAATCAGTCTTGAAGCAGCATTGGGTCGACGAACGTGCTGTAGTTGTTTGTAGGCTAGATGATAGGAGTAGCTGTAGGTGGAGCTGTCGGATAGCCGCCTATAGGAGGACTAAAATGTTGTTGTATTGAGATGGGTGGCGCTGGATGGGCTTTCATTATCAAGAGACTTCAATGCTTGGCTCATTGACATGTGGTCTTTCGTGAGACATTGCAATTTGGCTTATGGCTGTTCGCATTGCTTATTTCCTTGCACAATGTTTCTGAGGACCTCCGTATCCTCATTCTTCCTGGCAATGGCTGTGCATGCCCTTCCCCATCATCATCATCATCATCATCATCATCATCATCATCATCATCAACATCTCAGTCATGCTCCCCTCAACCCCATCCTTCTTCTATCTATCAAATCTTGGAAAGAGATAGATCACTGGTAAGCATGTTTCTGTACAGGTCGTTCTCAGGAGGAGTCTTTGCTTACAACTTCCGCAGAGTAATCAGACTGGCTCCTCTGGACAACTTCAGTGCATTGCCATCGTTGACCTTGCCCCAGAAATTTGTCATCCTCCGCCACCTCCTCGGTCCTCTCAGGGGCCTGGGGCGCTCGGCCCCCTGTCCCCTTAAGAAGGCTCCCCCCTGAAAGTTCTTGTAAGCATGCACTGGCGGATCTCGATATACGATCTCTCAATGCCAATGGACTGGTGCAAACATCAGAGAGCGAAAAGGCTGCAATATGGCGGTTGTTAATGGAAGAGGGAACAGGTCAATGGCCGGATGTGGAGTGCATATAGTAGACACACTTTCCTCACTCCGGTGTTCACAGGGCTGAGGGCAAGAGAAACCAGGGTGTGATCCAATATCTCATTCTCCACACACCCCTTGTCCAAGTCCTTGGCGTCAACAGGAGCGGCAATATGGCTACACCAGAATTCAAGACTAACACCTTCAGACTACGATTATGACAGACGGGGATGCGAGGTGGGTTACATAAGAGCAACAGTGGCTGACAAGGAGGTGTGTATATCGCTGCTATCTCGATCAGACAAACTTCGCTTTCAGTTCGTATTAAGCTGCACAGATCAAAATGTGAAGTTTGTAAACATGCATAAAGGCACATACATCAGTAACATCAGGTATGGTATGCGCACATGCACGTAACCCTTGCTCAAACTTACCAGACCCTGATGTAAACGCCCTTTAATCCCCCCTTGAATTAGTCCAACCAGTTAATAAGTTAATAAGGATAAGGAGTTCACCCCAAAAAATGCTCCCTATACAGTTGGTTTGCACAACTGTGCTCCTTGGCCTACCCATACAACCTACCCTGCAGGGAGATTCAGCCCATTGGGGGGAGGTATGGTTATCATGGGTAAGGTATGTGTTTGCACTCATTGGCTAGGGTTTGCATCCCCAAAATGCAGGTCAACTCCATCCAGATAAATAGTTTACAGCAAGAGCTAATTTGCAAAAAGCCCAGAGCGGAACCTCTGACATTAAACCACCAGTCCATCCGAGCATCTTTTTCCCGACCCATATTGCTGCTGCAGGCCAAAAAAAATGAACCGGGTGGAATTTTTTCCCCTTTTGGCTGGTGCCATCGGCAATTTTGGTCCGGTACGCCAAGCCCCTGTCAATGTGGTGGGCAGACCGTTGCGTCAGAACAAAACAATGAACTGGTGGTTTAAGGCAGCCCTGGTGACTGTTGGGCTGTACACAAGCAGGAGGGCCAGGGATCAAGTCCCGCACCAGACCATCCATAACACTACCCCCCTCAGATTCAGCCAGCCCAAATGAAGCCTTCATGTTCGCTTACTCCTTTCACTGATGCATGTCTATCAGAAATTTAAGTCGGAATCTCAGCCCCAATGACTAGCCGGTTTTAGGCAAGCAGGTCTAGGGATCAAGTCCTGTGCCAAGCTGTAATGCTACCCTCCTCAGTTTCAGCCAGAGAGAATGAATCCTCAACATTCCCTTACTCCTCTCGCTAGTACGTGTTTATCAGACAGAAACTTACTTCAAAATCTTGACTTGAAGTTGGAGATGACTCAGACAAGGACAAGGGACCCCGCAACTGTTAAGATGAGGTCTCACAAACATACATCAAGACGAGGCATATCTCGCCCAGAGCAGCGTCAAGACACATATGTAGCTTGCTTTATCATAGCTTTACTATGCATGCCAGCCTCTGATGAGGATCAACTGGTTGCTTAGGTCTGACTATCACCTTTGGAGTCAAGAACCCGGTTTGTCTCATTTACTTGTTGGAGAATTAACTTCGCACATACGAAAAAGGAAAGGGAAAAATGGATAGGTATGTTGTGCAATTGCACTGCCATGCGCCGTGTTTTGCTCAAACATTTATTTAATATTTACTATTTACTATTTAGCTCATTAACCTAACATTCGGCTCATTTTGATCAGCTCCACGGTGCACTGCATGCTGCATACCTGGGAGTACCTGCACGAAGCCGTGCAATTTGAACTGTTCCCCCTGGATCATAATCCAAACCAAATTTTGCCAGGGTTTGCCTTGTGGATGCATCTAGCAATTCTTTGGACCCATGGCTCTCTGATTGTCTCAAGGATAAAGGTGCCCACCCTACTCCAACTTCTCGCCGGATATCACCTCCTGATTTCGATCTCTCTGCAGCATCACATGACAAAATAAAATTTAGACTCTGTTTTCTCTCTCTCTCTCTCTCTCTCTCTCTCTCTCTCTCTCTCTCTCTCTCTCTCTCTCTCTCTCTCTCTCTCT